ATGATTATTGAAATATTTTTCCCTCTGATTATCAATTATATATTTCACCTTTAAAGGAAATTTTTTGGGGAAATTAAGAGCTGCTCTTTGCCTTAAAAAAAAAATTAGGTGAATGCATTCCTCTGATAATAGTTTTTATGGGTATTTTGCCTGGTAATGTGTTCATTTCATCATCACTCATATGCTTGAATGTCTTCATTCTAACAGTGTCAGTTCAGTATCATGAAAACGTTTGCATTTGTATTTGTGATTTGAGGAACTTCTCCCCTTCTATGCAGCTTGTAAATTCAGCTCAGGTTGCATGTTCGGAGGATATTTTAGTTCACAAAACCCACGTGACGTCCTAGTTTACATTACTTCATACAGCGTGGTGTTGCCGACTCTGCATGCTTGTGTAAGTCAAGGAGGCTGGGTAGGAGCAGTGTTAAGATTTTTGAAGGCAAAATTTGAGAAATAGAGTTAATACTTCTGATTCCCTTCTTTTAGTGCCATAACTGAGGATATTGTGAAGTACTTGTTAGTAAGCCCGACCTTGAAATGTCAGAATGGAAGGAGTTGATGTAGACTTTGTACAGAATCCTGGGCATTATTGAAACAGTCTGTCAATGACATTTTAAAATGCACTTAAAAAGAAAAAGACTAAAACAAAATAAAATGCACTTCATTTTGTTTTCACAGCTGATGTAGACTTATTTTTGCTGGCTTCCAAATACCTTTATCTCTTTTAGCTAAAGTGGTTATCTTTCATTTGTTGTAGAATCCAAAATAATATTGTTTTGTAAAGTAGTGCTATTTAATTCTTCCCAGCCTTCATAAGTTTATTCTGAAATGTCATTTACAGATTGAGCTGACTACTTAAAATCTATACAGAGACTCTGAAGAACTCTACATGTTAGCAGTACCTAACTTGAGCTACATATGCAAACAGTTCTAACATTGCTTTTTATGTTAGCATTTCTCCTAGAACACTGAACGAGAATATTCTAATGATTACTGACTCAGTTCAGTCATTTCAATGTAGAAAATGCTTCCATAGTGCTTTTCCTGGTACTGTTAACATTTTGAATTCATGTTTGAAAGACATCATCACAGAATTTACTCTTATTTCATTAAAAAAAATTAATACTTTCAGAAGAGTATTTAAGTTTGTAGACTATGTACTGGGAAATCCTCTTGAGATAGAAGGCTTCCAAATATTCAGTATTACAAATCCGTGGTCACACGTGCCTGGACTTAGTGAGGAATACCAATCTATGCAGTGTATATTTTCAGCCTGAAATTCCAGAGGAGTCATTCTGACCATCCTAATAGAAACAAAGACAGCTGTTATGAAAGATCACGAGCATGACTCTTTTCTACTTAGTAATTTAATTTGCTCAAAATTACTTGGCAAACAGTTTGCACAGGTGTTGATCATATTAATTGAAATTTGTTTTATTTTCCTCAAAACAATTGACTTGAGCTCATTTCTGAAGAAAAATGTATTTGCTCTGTGGAAAAATCAGTCACTGCCAGGATTCTTTCATTTCTGTACTGTTTTTGTATAATTGAATTTGTTAACTTGTCTCACACCAGCAAGTATTTTACAGGTGCCTTGGATTAAAACAAAATTGATTTTTAAATTATACTGTAAATCATGCTTACGATGCCACTTTAAAAAAGAAATGCAATTGCATAATGGTTGACACCCTTACTTAATGTGCCTATTTGTGTTCTAATTGTTTAGATGTTTTATGCAGCTGGAAACTTTCCTGTGAAACCACAAACAATAAACCGTTTTTTTGTTACGTACTAAAGGGATATCAGTGTTTCTCACAGTGTTGTCCATGGACCTTCCGGTCCTGGAGTGCTTGTTAAGTATGCAGATCCCAGGGCTTCATCCAAACCCAAACTCAGGGGTTGGCTTCAGAATCTGTTTTCAACAGGTGCCTCAGGTGATCCTGAGCACACTAACTTTGAGAACCACTAAGAAGGGGAGTGGAGGAAAATGAGTATTGTTTTGTTGGCTTAAAGCTGAGCTGAGCACATGATGTAACTTTTGTTGTCAATTATATTAGCAACGTGCACTGAGTCTTTTATACTCACAGTTTACTTAACGCTCTTTTTACTGAAACTCTTGGTTTAGTAGCAGCTACAAACTAAACCCAGATTGTTGCCTGTAGCTCTTCATACTTTAGTTGATGGCTTTTAAACTTAAAAATCATTTTCAGATCATGGTCAGGCCATGAAAACTCCCATCTTCATGTCTGCCTGCTAAAGCTTTTTGCGTTCCTGATTGCGATTTTTGTGACATTTTGTCTCAGACAATTGTACTTTTTGATAACTTGGGGAAAACAGAAACTACTTGAATAAGGGATTGCCAGGTCCGCTGCATCTCAGAGACGCGGTGTCTGTGACAACATGACAGTTGTGAATATTCAGATGTGATATCTTTTCCTGCCGTGTGCTTTTCACAGGGAGATCATGAACAAGTGATTATATTAGGGATTATTTTATTTATACGATCTAATGTGAAATCACCACTTGCAACTTTTTAGATCTATATGTTGCCTGTTTAATATATTTCTTTAAAAGTTTAAAAGAATTTTCTACCCACTGTTAATTTTAATTGGATAACATTTTGTCAAGTGTTTTTTTTTCTTTCTGATTGTTATTGATGCTAGCTGGAATTCAAGAAATGACATTGACCTTATTCAAATAAAGAAATATTTTAGTAAATTTACTTTTTCCTTCATTGTTCTCCAGTAATTGGTAGGTATTTATTTTCCAAATAGGCCCTGATTTGTGATAGTATTTCATTTATGACACACTGTGTGCTCAGCCCTGGGTGGCGTACCACCTGCGGAATCAACACATGGGAGCATAAGAAGAGAGGTAGAGCCCTAACTGGTTTGGCTCAGTGAATAGAGCATCGGCCTGCAGACTGAAGGGTCCCAGATTCGATTCCGGTCAAGGGCATATACCTTGGTTGCGGGCACATCCCCAGAAGGAGGTGTGCAGGAGGCAGCTGATCAGTACTTCTAACTCTCTATCCCTCTCCCTTCCTCTCTGTAAAAAATCAACAAAATATATTTTTAAAAATAAAAAAAGAAAAAAGGTAGAAATGGTCATGGATAAATGCTAACCCTGCTGATAATGAAAAATATAAATTAATTAAAATAATGTATTTGATGTTTTTACTCTTAATAATCAAATACTAGTAAAAGTATAATTAATCTGGAATCTTAGTCATTCATTATTAATGGCAGTAAAAAAATCTTTTAATCTTTTTAGCAAGTACCATTTAACCAAGTAATTTCAATTCTGAGAGTCATGCAGTATAAGAAGGAAAGAGTAGAGCTTTGGGTCAGACAAATCTGGGCTTGAATTTTGGCTCCGCCACTCAGTAAAGAAGACCTTCAGTTTCCTCATAATACTTTCCCCCATGGTTGGTGGAATGTAAAAGAGAATCTTTATTAAAGTGGTGTCAGAAAATGGTAGACTAAGGAAATGGACCCCTCTTCTGAGAATACTGGATAAAATAAAAGATTTAAATAAATTAGATGGGTTTAAAAGAAATCAAAGGAAACTTAAGCCTGATTAGTGAGCTATCAGGGGCTGTATGGTGGAAACTAGATGCTCTGAAGGCCCTAGCTAGACACTTTTGGGGGTATTGGGACATGGCCTTGCAGGCCATAGTGAACATCTGGGGTTTATTCAAGGAGCATGAGAAGCCTTTGGAGAGGTAACACCTAGTGGTCCCATTTATTTTCCCTTTCTGGAGTAATGAATGATTCTACACACAGCAGCAAATACAGTTACTGAATGTCCCAAGTAGAAAGGCCATTGTAATTAAGGATTAAAAAGTTTTCAAAGACATCCCATTTTCAATGGAATTATCTTTTGGGAAGACAATGAGAGACTTGACTTCATGAAACAAAGCAATGCCCGAGAGTGTTCAGTTTGCACACTGGTGTAGCTACCACCTAAGGGTCTCTAATGCTTGGCACTGCCCCCAACACACACACACACAGAAAAGGACTGGACAGGGAGAGGCTGCTTTACAAACTGGTTTTAGTTTAGAATTGACACCATTACCATTTATGTTTCCTAATTCCTAATAAAGTGAAATTTTAAAAGATTTTATAATCAATATAAATAATTTATAACAAAATATAATGAAATTTTTATTGTTTTGGTTTTTTGTTTTGTCAGACCTACCAAATTCATGTTGACTGGGGAATTTCACTTTCTGACCGAAACTATTTTAATAGGACAGATCTCCAGCAAATAGTCATTGTTATGGGAAATAAATTTTAAATAGGTTAGCAAAAGAGAAAGCAGATCTTTAAGTATATAAAACAAGCATTTTAGGCAAAACTGCAGATGACATAGTTCTGTACAATCTGAAGAATAGTCATCTGTTTCCTAGAAGGGCTCATGTCTACAGTTAAAATAGGCATAGGTTGCAGCTAGCCCTTATCTCTTAAAAATGGAACTCCCATTTGACTAGTGATCCCACTTCTAGGAATATATCCTAAGAAACTCAATACACTCATCAGAAAGAACATGTGTACCCCTATGTTTATAGCAGCGCAATTTACAATAACTAAGATTTGGAAACAGCCTAAGTGCCCATCAGCAGATGAGTGGATAAAATAACTATGGTACATTTACACAATGGAATACTATGTGGCAATATAAAAAGAAAACTCTTACCATTTGCAACAGCATGAATGGACCTGGAGAGTATTATGCTGAGTGAAATAAGCCAGTCAGAGAAAGATAAGTACCACATGATCTCACTCATATGTGGAATCTAATGAACCAAATAAGTTGATGATCAAAAATAGACCCAGAGACAAAAAACATGAATAGACTGTTGAACCTCAGAGGGAAGGCAGGGAAGGGTGGGTGGGTGGGAAGAGATCAACCAATGAACTTGTATGCATAACCCATGGATACAGACAAGGCTGGGGGGGTAGGGGTAGGAGGAATGGGAGCCGGCTGGAAGAGGTTAATGGGGGTGGGGGGGAGGGAGGACCTATGTAATACTTTCAACAATAAAGATTAAAAAAATAGCCTACATCTCCTCCTCACCCCTGCTTTGGAATGCTTTAATTAGAAAGATACTAATGTAGATTAAAGTCTTAGCCGTACTAGATTCCTCCCTTGACCTGAGGAAAACCAGGACCATTGAGAACCTGCTATGTGACTAGACATTGTCAAAGGTTTTCTCCAAGTACTGTACACCACTGAGCTTAAAGAGAGCACCCAGAAAGTGGACTGTATGTAAGAGAAGGCGACCCATCACATTGATGATGTGACCTATATGTCCCTACCATCAGGATGGAAGCACCGAAAAGTGGCCAGAGCATCACTTCCATGCAGGCATGCACCATTTCAGTGCAGAAGGCTGGGAGAATCTTCCAGATGTAAATTAAGGACCCACTGGCAGTCCCTTTGGACTTGCCACAGTTAAGTGTTTTTGTATGGGACACAGTAACCACCAAAGCAGGACAGAATCCAAGCAAATCAAAGGCGAATCCTTGCATAGCGCAAAGTCCAATAACATAAAATGATGGATCAACGGATTATTTTTGCTTAATGAAGCATTTTGGGTTTTGAGTCTCATTGGACTTGCTTTTCAATAGGACATGCTCTGGGCTAGAATTTGGAAATTATACTACAGCCATATAATGTCAGACTAATTTAATTGAAGAACTCTGGATGTGCTTAGCATAATATAAAACTTAGAAGTGGGTGAGGAGGGAGGGTAGGAAATGGGAAGGATTTTTCCCTCTGAAATTAGCTTAGTGTATTAATTCAGAAAGTAGTTGGTTCCATCTGATTGTAGGCTTCCATAATCTGAACCATCTGCCCCTGCATCCGAGGTAGCTCGCCTCTAATCCAGCTTACAGCCGCAAACCACTCTTCTCCATCAGGACGCCCTTGAGGACATGAGGCCCTGCAAAGCCCTTTGCTCTTAAAGGCCTGGCTGTCATTGAAGATATTTGGAGAGTTTGTCTTTTTTCTCTTCTTCAGGTTTAGTCTGAGTTTTTGGGTTTCTTTTTCTGGAGCAGAAACAATGGCTTTCTTTATGAAAACTATGATAAGTAACCAGGTAAAGAATTTAGGATTTGGTGGCAGGTCTGAAGAAAATAAAGAAGAAGGAGGGACCTCGGATGCTGCCACAGCTCAAGGGATGACCAGAGAGGAATATGAGGAATATCAGAAGCAAATGATCGAGGATAAGTGAGTACCTGCTACTTCATTTCCCTTTAAAAACAAAACGGAGTTCCTGCCGGCCTTACCTTCACCAGTTCCCTAGTATCCTCCTCTTTGCTCTGTAGATGCCTTTCCTTGTGCTGTCTGTCTGCCTCCAACCTTGCGAACGCGTTCTGCTAAAGTGAACAGTTTTGTAGCATCAGCAGTTACTATATCCTACCTGCATGAATAGAAATGAAAAAGAAAAAGTGAATCTATATGCTGTTTTTAAGCAGCTTAACACTTTCTGATCGGTGCATGTTGTAATCAACCTCAATTTAAATATTCGAATGAAAAAATGTGAGCCTATCTTTATCGGTTTTCTGAAATTCACCCTCCTAGCACGTAAAAAGCTTTCAAATTTGGCACGTGGAAGAGGGCCTTAAAGAACATTTAGTGCAGCCATCTTGATCTCACATGTTGCAAATAAAAGCCTAGAAAGCACAACGTGACTTGCTTTTCAGACTATGAATAAATTTGTGGGCTGTGTATTATGAAAATCTTAAAGATACAGAAAAAGAACAGTATAATGAATACCCATATATACCTATTATATATAGTTTTTAAGTCCTCACCTGAGGATACTTTCATTGATATTTTTAGAGAGGGGAAGGGAGAGAGAGAGCAAAACATTGATGTGAGAAAGAAGCATCAATCTGTTGCCTCCCACAAGCAAACCGACTGGCATGTGCCCTGACAAGAATTGAACCTGTGACCTTTGGGTATATGGGACAATGCTCCTACCAACTGAGCCACACTGGCCAGAGCATATGATATTGTGACATATTTGCTTATATATAGATTAGTTGGATGGATGGGTGGATGGATGGATGGATAGATAGAACAACTTTTAAAGAAAATTACAGGAATCATCATAATTCACCCCTATCTATTTCAGCCATATACCACCAAAAATTAAGGACATTCTGGTGGCTATATAAAATGTAATAAAAATAAAATACTCATAATATTTTAGTTGGGTATTATGAAATGTGAATATCACCAGCAATTTTTCACTACTAAAGACTGATCTTTATTTTTTTTTTTTTAATATATTTTATTGATTTTTTACAGAGAGGAAGGGAGAGAGATAGAGAGTCAGAAACATCGATGGGAGAGAATCATCGATCAGCCGCCTCCTGCACATCTCCCACTGGGAATGTGCCCGCAACCCAGGTACATGCCCTTGACCGGAATCGAACCTGGAACCCCTCAGTCCGCAGGCCGATGCTCTATCCACTGAGCCAAACCGGTTTCGGCTATTTTTTTTTTTTTTTTTAAGACTGATCTTTAAGTATATATAATTATTTTAACTTCAAGGTTGAATCAATTTAAGAGCCTTTTAGTATTCAAGTAAGAATTGAAACATTGATCTTGAGGTTAAATGTTCAGTATATGTTACAAAAGAAAAATATTTTTGCCACTATGGCTATTTTGCTAATGATCAGTTACATAAGAGTTGCCTAAGTCCTATTGCTAAGGTGATTATAAGTGAAAAGGTTAATGACCTGGAGGAAACTAAGTACAAAGACCTACACTTAATGGAAACCTTGTCTATTGTATTTTTTCTGAAAGAAATCATTAGAAATTATCTAGACTGGTATTATGCTTGGCTCTGCAGTAAATGAAAGTCAGCTTTAAAAAGTAAATACAACCACAAAAGTGATGTTGATGCTAAGATAATACTTGGCAAAAATAAATAAATAAATAAAGCAGCATTCTTTGAATATTGTCTAGTTTTGCCTATGGCATGTAAAAAAAAAAAACAAAAAACCCACCAAGTATAATAAAGAAATAGAACAATAGCACCAAATTCTCAACTCAAGTGAGCTTATAAAAGGAAAATCGTCAGGTATTGATTGTTTGATTTCAGAGAGGAAGCGAGAGGGGGAGAGAGAGAGAAACATCAATGATGAGAGAGAATCATTGATCAGCTGCCTCCTTCACATCCCCCACCAGGGATGAGACCGCAACCTAGGCATGTGCCCTGACCGAGAATTGAACTGTGTGACTTCCTGGTTCATGGGTCAATGCTCAACCACTGAGCCATACTGGCTGGGCAAAATGGTCAGGTATTTAGACTATACACCTGATCTTGTAAAATATTTAATATGTCTCAGTAATAAATCTGCTCATAGATATGGCATCTGTTTGATTAACTAATATCCTGGTTTTCCTTAATTTTATATCTGGACAGATCAAAGACCAAAACACCCAAATTATATTGTTATTTATTGGATTGGGTTATTTGCCAGCTACTTGTGTGTGTGTGTGTGTGTGTGTGCGTGTGAATATTATGAATTTATGTAGTCATCTAATGTAAGAAATATTAACGAGACAATGGAACCAGCCTGCTTCTCCGTGGCAAGAGGCATGACTTCTAGTCCATTGCTTGAGTTTTCAAGAGCTTCATCACCAAAAATACAACATAAAGAATGGTCATCAAAACAGTTCATCACAAGTTTCATGTAGAGAGAGCTATAGATATCATAGTACATGCAATCATCAAAATGAATACTAGTAAATAGAAACCTTTCAAACCTGTCCTCATCATTTTAGAAAAGCTGTGGGGTTGACTCCACTAATTGTAATCTGAAACCTACCTAACAATACACTCTACTGCACATTCGTTTTTATTTTACTTCTATCTTCAGATTTTTTTTCACTACTGATAACATTAATACTGAAAGAGGTCTACACCTAAACAGAAAACATTTGGAAAAGTCTAAATAAAACAGCTATCTGCTTATCCCTCCATGTCTCTTAATTACATTAAAATGTCCCTTTATCTTAGCTATGGTACAACAATTGCTACAGTAACGTTTGTAACTTCAACTTCGATATGCATCACAGACCAAAATATAAAAGCTAAAATTATAAAGCACTTAGAAAAAAGCATAGAATATCTTTGCAACTTGGAAATAGGCAGAGATTTTTAAACATGACTCTGAAAGCAATTACCATACAATTTTAAGTGATAAATTAGATGTCAAAATTAAAAACTTCTGTGCATCAAAAGACACCATTAAGAAAATAAATAGGCAAGCCACAAATATAGAAAATATTTGCAAAACATGTCTGATGAAGTACTGGGATCTAGAATATAAAAATAATTTCTAGCCTGGCCAGCGTGGCTCAGTGGTTGAGCATCAATCTATGAACCAGGAGGTCACGGTTCGAGTTCTGGTCATGCTTGGGTTGTGGGCTCAGTCCCCAGTGTGGGGCATGCAGGAGGCAGTTCATCAATGATTCTTTCTCATCATTGATATTTCTATCTCTCCCTCTCCCTTCCTCTCTGAAATCAGTAAAAATATATTTTTTTAAAGGAGTTGAACAAATACTTCACAAAGGTATACAAATGGCCAATGAATACATGAAAAAAAAAAAAGCCCAGTATCATTAGTCATCATGGAAATGAAAATTAAAATCACAGTAAGGTACCATTACACACATACCAAAATGGCTAAAATTAAAAAGACACAACACCAAAAGTTGGCCTAAGTGTGATAGAATTCTTCTGGTTGATGAGATGTATGAGCGTATAACCACTGGGGTAAAGGTCTGACCGTTTCTAATAAAACTACACTTAGTCAACCAAATTACCCTATCACTTAGTAATTCCATGCCTAGATTTTACCTAGGTGAAATGAATATACATGCTCACAAAAAGATTTGTACAGAAATGCTCATAGCAGCCTCATTCACAGTAGCCCCGAACCGGAAATAGCCCAGGTGTCCATCAGCAGCAGGATGAATAAACAAACGTGATATATTCATATGGTAGAATACACTCAGTAATGAAAAGGAACAAACTGATAAATGAAAAACTTGGATAAATCTCAAAAGTTTTTTATGCTGAATGAAAGAAGCCTTACACAAAAGAAGGCATAATGTATGGTCACATTTCTGTGAGGTTCTAGAGCAGTCAAAACCAATCTAAGACGGTAAGGACACAGTGGGAGTAGGTGTTGATTGGGAATGGGGATGAGGGAATGTGCTCAGGTGACAGTATGTTTTTTATATCTTAATAGGAGTTTGTGTTATACACAGAAACAGAATCAATAGAACAAAGATAGATAGGTAGGTAGATAGATGATAGATGGTAAATAGATAATAAAACTATAAGCAAAGACATAACTATAATTAATGGTCATGCATGTTGCAGTGGGGGAAAGAGTACTGATTTCTACAATTTTGAAATGCATCAAAAAATAAGATGGATAAATGAATGGTTAGAGGGGGGTAGATATATGATAAAACATGTCTTAGTAGACATGCTCATTGTAGAATCTAGATGGTGAGTACATGGGTTTCACTGTAAAAGTCCATTAACTTTTCTGTATGTTTGAAATTTTTTATAATAAAATATTGGGAGGAACAAAAAAACCTGCTTCTGCCCATGTCACGGGTCACTGATGTCTTGGATAAGTCATTTAGTTCTGTTTCCCTCTCCCAAACTAGAAGATTGAACCCAGTACTCCCTCCTGCCTATTCCAGGCCTGACATTTTGTGGCAGGCAGTGGGTTCAGGGGGTGCCTGAGCCCAGGGCCCAGTGCTGAGCAGTTTAATCTGAGTGCTTCAGACCCAGCTCTTCCAGCAGTCAGCCTTCCACGTCATGGTTAAGATGATTTCAAAACTTGAATTTGAGAATAGAAATCAGTTTAGCCACCTGAAAATGAAACAGTTTGTTTTAATGCAAATAGTGCTTCATGCAAAGATGCTTCCCCAAACCCAAGAGCAGAAATCCCATCAGGCCCCACCTGGACCTAAACCAATACGCAGAGAGCTGTTGGGAAACCACTAGCACTCTTTTCCATCCCTCGCCATTGCTTCTATCTCACAAGGAAACTTTGCTCTTTCTTCTCAGCAGGGAGCTCTCTCCTCAGTCTATTACCCTGACCAGGTGACCCATGGCAAACAGCTGATGGCCTCCATGTTCACCTGTCACAGCTCCAGCCACCAGCTCCAGCCAAATTCCCAGCGAAGAGGTTTCATTTACCCAGTTTAGTCCAATCCAATCCAGCTAGAGGGCAGGGCCATGTGTGTAAATTTAGCCCCAGGAATACACTCTTGTGGGCAGGGAGGGGAGGTGGGATTGTGAACTTTGCAGATATTCCCAAAGGTGTTTGCCTCTGTCGGGATCATAAGCAAGGGAGTTTATTTCAAACCAGCATAATCACAAGTCCAGTTAGGTGGTCTCCAGAGCAGTGCGCAATCAGTCTCACTTTGAAGGGCTGCCTCCTTTCAAACAGGGAAGGGAACACCCCTGGGGGGGGGGGGCCGGGTGACAAGGAAGGGAAATGGCTTTATATTACAACCCCAATACCACGTGCCTCCAAAGCACCCCCAGTTCTGGATGTTTTAGTTGGCTGGAAAGTCACTCAGGAGCTTGTTAGAAATGCAGCTCCCACAACCCATCCCCACGTCTGAGGGCAGTGGGACTGGAAGGTGTAGCCCCATGTCTGGCTCCTCTGAGCACAGGTCTGAACTCCTTAGCTCTACACCAGCAGTTCTCAGCCTGTGGGTCACAAACCTTTGGGGTCGAACGACCCTTTCACAGGGATCGCCTAAGACCATCGGAAAACACATATATAATTACATATTTTTTGTGTGATTAATCACTATGCTTTAATTATGTTCAATTTGTAACAATGAAAATACATCCTGCATATCAGATATTTACATGACAATTCATAACAGTAGCAAAATTACGGTTATGAAGTGGCAACGAAAATAATTTTATGGTTGGGGGTCACCACAACATGAGGAACTATATTAAAGGGTTGCCGCATTAGGAAGGTTGAGAGCCACTGCTCTACACCCTCTGATACTTTCTTCTATTCTTTTCCTTTTAGGATGGAAAGAGATGCTTCATTTACACAAAAAAAGGCAGAGAGGGCATGCCTCCGAGTTCATCTCAGAGAGAAGTATAGACTTCCAAAGGTGAGACACTCCTAACACAATACACATCCAACTATTTCTTTTCTTTCTTTTTCTTTTTATTTTTTTGCATAAAAAGACATTTTTATTTTTTATTTATTTATTTTTGCAATCTATAATGCTAACTTTATTATTTTTATTTTTAATTTATTGATTAAGGTATTACATATGTGTCCTTATCCCCCCCTGGTGTCTGTGTCCATTGGTTAGGCTTACATGCATGCATACAAGTCCTTTGGTTGATCTCTCCCCCTTATCCCCACCCTCCTCTACTTTGCCTCCAACCATTTCTTACATAATTAAAAATGGAGAATGTTTGATGATCAGCAAAGGATCATGGTCATGAATATATGTATTCAGTAATCCTCTCTTATCTACAGGGGATATGTTTAAAGACCCCCCAGTGGGTGCCTGAAACCGCGGATACTGCAAACTCTGTACTGTATAAAGTTTTTCTTATACACATATGCCCATGATAAAGTTTAATTTATAAATTAGACACATTAAAAGATTAACAACAATAACTAATAATAAAATAGAACAATTATAATAATATACTGTAATGAAGGTCATGTGAATGTGGTGTTTTTAAGTAAAATAAGGGTGACTTGAACACAAGCACTGTGATACCACGACAGTCCACCTGTTAACCGAGCCGGCTACTGATGACTAAGGACAGGGAGAAAAACAGTGTGGAGACACTGGACAAAGGGATGATTCATGTACAAGGCAGGACTGGGCAGGATAGTGTGAGAATTCATAACACTACTCAGAAGAACATACAATTTAAAATGTCTGAATTATTTATTTCTGGAATTTTCCATTTAATATTTTGGGCTGTGGTTGACTGTGGTTAACTGAAACCACGGAAAGTGAAACCATGGGTAAGGGGGGATCTACTGTATATATAATATATATATATATATATATATATATATATATATACACACACACACATACACACACACACACATACATATATATGAATACAAATTATATGTATGTGTGTGTATATCCTATATAATAAAGAGCTAATATGCTAATTAGACCAAACAGCAGAACGACCATCCAGACGACCTTCCGGACAAAGCCGGGGCTGCAAGGGCCAGCTGAGGCAGCTGGGGCTGTGAGGGCCGAGCCCCTTGCACGAATTTCGTGCATTGGGCCTCTAGTATGTATATATATATATATAACCAAACATAACCAAGGCATGGTATAGTGAAAAGAGCACTACACTAGGAGTTCATAAAGACTGGATCCCAGTCATTCTGCTTCTATAAACTTCCATTTCCACTCAACAAAATGAACACCTACAGATGACATTTTAATGAAAATTTACTAAAGACTCTAGAACAGCTATATCCAAATTCATAATGGGGCTAATGATCACAGCTGCCATTCATTGAGCTCTAAGTGCAGGCACTGTGCCAAGTGCTCTGCATGTGTCAATTCATTTCCTCCTCTCAGTTCTGTGAGCAGGCTCATTCCTACATTAGGGGAAATGGAGGCCCAGAGAACATCCCCTCCTCCCAAAGGCCACACAGCAGAAGGGCAGAGCCCAGGGCCCAACTTCTTTAATACTCTGCCTCGATGTCAAAGGAATGATCGGTTGCTTCTGTTTGGGAATGATGTGGCAAGGCTGGTCATCAGCTGGCTCCATCCTACCTGTCTTGGCTGAGAGGACCAAGCTATTCACAGTGCATCTACTGCACGTCTGTTTTTATTTCACTGGTGGAGCGGAGGGAAGATGATGTGGTGACATGTGCAGCAGGGCTCAGACGCACTCTTCCAGGCCTGCATGGGTGACAGAGGGCCCAGCACTTAGCTCCTCTGGCTCAGACATTCCCCCTCCTGGGGATCACCCAGCTCCTCTAAATGACTCTAGGTCAGTGTTCAACTTCACGTTCTGGAGGTGCACGCTCCCTACGAGAACATCTTCCACCTGGAGAAATCAGAGAGGAAGATCCTCCAAAGTACATGGTCCTCCCACCCCGCCCCCAGCCCCGGGATGAGAGCCACTAAACCTATTCCCCGAGTGGGTCTCCTGCAGATCCCCAAAAGCTGTCTTCAGAAGCGACAAGCAAGGAAACAAAGGGAGACAGGCCACACTGTCCATGCAAGATCACTGCTGAAGTCACCAAAGAGTCAAATAGACCCACCCTGTGGGAGAGATTGATCCCTAGGACCCAGAACGGGAAAACTCCCAATGACATTTGAACTCATTTGCCTTTGAGACCAACGAAGTTTGAAAAGAATGCCTTGCTTTTTGTGCCCTGTATTCTGGTTTAACAAGTACCTTTTCCCAACGAGCTTGCATTGTGGAAGAGTGGAGCACTTCTAAACACTGTCCCTTCCACTCCCAGGGTCTGGTGGGTTTCCTGGTGCTCCCTGGGGTGTCTCTGCTGTTCAGCATTATGGTCCCCCCCCACACACACACACACCAGGCAGGATGCCTGACTCAGATTTACGCTGCTAAACTGGAGCTCCAGCCTCCTGCCTTGGGTATATCTGATTAAGCATCACAAATCTTGTTTGGAACAAAGCAGAAATTACACACACACACACACACACACACACACACACACACACAGCCAACAGGCCATGTCTCTTCCACAAAGGTGGACTTTTTAAGGATTTATTTTTGTCAGCTGCGCTGCTGTCCTTCTGTGGGATATAATGAGAAATGGGTTTCAATTCTGGCTCTGCCACTGTGACACGGTGCAACCTTAGGGGGCTTCTAAAACAATCTGAGCCTCAGCTTCCCCACCTGTAAAATGGGGCAATGATACCTACTTTACAAGGTTTTTGTCTGTGATAACAGAGGGATGGGCAAAAGTAGATTTACAGTTGTTGGTATGGAAAACAATACAATAATTAATATATAATAATAGAAGAATAAACTCTGTTTTGCATGCCCACAACTGTAAACCTCCTTTTGCCCCGCCCTGTATAATGTAAAGAGCCTAGTACAGTGCCTGACTAATGGAAAGATCTCAATATGTGATAGCTCTTATTATTGCACATAATAACAACCAGGGGACTTGGAGACCATGGGCAAGCGCACTGACATTATAAACAATACAGCAACTCAAGGTCTCTGAACCTCAAGAATCAGAGCTTTTGATTGTTTTCTTCCTTGGTGGTGAGCCAGTGGTCTTGTTCATTTCCCGATCCTTGGGGTGAGCCCCTTCAGCCTTAGCAGCAGGGTTTTGATGCTCTTCAGAGAAAAATAATTCCCACATCTCTGAGCCAAGCTAGCATGTGGGACAAGAACCTCTCCAACAGAAACTATGGGAAAAGGAAAGAATTACAGCTGTGAAATCTGCACATTCATATCCTCTCTGGAGAGGGCCAGGCCCTGGGGAGTGATAGCAACTATAATTGCCTAGGGTACTGCTCCCCAAAGCCAGCTGGGTTGGGAATGGAAGGAACTATGACAAAGTTGATAAATGGCTAACAGTGGAGTCCAGAATCTTTCATTGCATGGCTTACCTATGCTCATATAGCCCCTTTTCTGTACTGTTTCAAATTCATCATGCTTATGAGACCTCACCTGATATTTTCATTAACCCAAAACGAGGCCTTTGAGTTCATGTAAGAAACTAACGCCACTTTTAGCACAAGGAAACTACAGCCGCTAGGGTGGGGGAGGTTAAAAACCCACAGCTATGGAGTGACAACCAGGATTGGAACTTAGGCCTCTCAACCATGAAAAAGAGTGACTTGCCCTGACCGGTTTGGCTCAGTGGATAGAGCGTCAGCCTGCGGACTGAAGGGTCCCAGGTTCGATTCTGTCAAGGGCATGTACCTTGGTTGTAGGCACATCTCCAGTAGGGGGTATGCAGGAGGCAGCTGATCCATGTTTCTCTCTCATCGATGTTTCTAACTCTCTATCCCTCTCCCTTCCTCTCTGTAAAAAGTCAATGAAAATATATTTTTAAAAAAGAAAAAGAGTGACTTAAGAAAGGATTTGAACACTGTCTCTTTCTCTTCTTAATATTCCAGGCGTCCCAAAATTTTAGTGCAGTTTTCAGTTCCACGTGGCTTAAAACTGCATGAAGACCTTAGGGAAAGACAACCTGTACTGGTCACTATTTCAGTGAAGTGTCACGGAATGCCACTGCCAGCAGCCGGGCACATCCCTTTTCCTTCTTCTGTGTTGTCTGACGGCTTGACCACAGACCTGTGAGTCAAGGACTAAATTCCAGTACAATCCAAATAGAGAGATGAGACTTAATCCTTCGCTGCAGAGTTTGCTGTCAGATGGGGGCCTGCTGGGTCACCTTAGTTATGGCTGTACTTTGTCAAGATGGGTTCTACACACAATGCTTCAAGAATTTGCCTATGGTGTAGAAAATACTAAAAATACTAATAATACAACTACTGCTTTTTGGGGGGATATGATCCATCATGTTCCACTTTGTCCAGTTATCCCCAGATGTGGCCAACGCCCCAACCTCAACGCAGCACCTTGCATTTGCCTCCAGCCCCCACTTCCTCTGCCTCGTGGCTGACACAGGTTACAGTTCCCCACCCACCCGCCCGCCCCATTGGAGGCTCTGGGTGCAGTGGGCCTTCAATAGCCTCCAGGCTAGAAAGGGGCGCTGGGGGAGAGCCACATTTTCCAGTCTCCACTCCCCCTTCCCCCTTCCCCCCAACCCTCAACCAGACATCACACCTCGGGCTGCGGCTTCCTGTCTGTGCAGAATGGCCATTCCTGTCCCAGCCAGACCCTGGCTCCACTAGGAGCCCACAGTAGCGGCAGCTGCGCGGGACAGGAATCCGGGCCCCTGGCGCCCCCTGGTGTCCCCAGACGCAGCGGGCACAGGCAGACCCGGGTAATGCACCCTCGCTGTGACTGTTTTCAGTCCTTCCGCAGGGACCAGGGACCGTGCGTTGTAGCAGGGACAGTGGTGCTGGTGGGGAACAGAAATAAATGTCTGAGGGTCGCTTTTTTTGAAGTCCATTCTTTTGATTGCACACTTTATTCTGAAGTGCCTGTG